TTTTTTTTTGTTGGTCTACTGCTTTAGGACCACTGGGTTTCACGTGGATCAAACATTATTGTACCTACGACAAAGGAAGCAAAACGTTCACGATGAATGTCTCGGAAGTGAAAGCCAGTGGGAAGATGGTGAGTGAGCACTCTAAGCTTGTCATTTAAGGAGTGGGAGTTGATTGAAGTGTCACCTGTGTGTCCCTTCCTTACTAAGAGCACACATTTTAACAACTGAAAAGTTCATTTAAAAAAATAATTTTTAGTGACCTTAATGACATTAAAAACGAATGGGCAGTGTCTTTTGTTTGGCTGGGGCTATCATGTATTTATAAGCATTTGGGTTACAGGAAGAGGTCGTTCAGTAGATGACTGAGGTACCCTCCAACGTCCCTGGCTTAAGAAGGAGGGGCGTGTGCGATGGGTTGACTAGCAACCAAGGAAGGGACTGCCGGTGTCTGCACCCAGCTTGGCACAGGGGGCAAAACTACAACTACTCCTCTGTGCCCTTGCCTCTGACATTCTACAAAGTAACATACCAAGATGCTGATTAACAAATTTTTCAAAGCAACCAATCAAGGCGCAGCTTACCCCCAAAGTAATGTTGTTGCTAAATGTTTCATGGCTAGCCACCATCACAGGACATGGTGCACCTTCTATCTGATGAAATGCACAGTCCTTATTGCATAGCAGATGGAACTCCCTTCTTTCCTTCCTGCCTTCCTTCCTTCCCTTTTTCTTTCTCATCTGTTTTTTCTTTTTTCCTTTTGTTTTATTTTTCTTTTCTATTCTTTTTCATTTTTTTCTTTCTCTTTTTTTTTTTTTTTTTTTTTTTTTTTTTTTTTTTTTTTTTTTTTTTTGAGTTAACTTACCAACATGAGTAATGACTGATCTTGTGAACTAGCTAGTTTGGTCACGGGCTAAGGATTCTGCATGTGGATATTATCCTAAAGATAATTTGTTCCAATCTTATTTTAACAGGTGGGGAAGTTGTTTCTAGAAAGTAAATGAGTCACCCAGGCAGTTTGTAATTTAGGACATGGCAGAGGTAAATGATGGAAGGTAGAAACATTCAGATGTGTTAACGGAAACTTATTGTGCACAGGCATCCGTCAGAGCCTAATAATTCAAAAGTGAAAGAGACATAAAAGAAAGGGGAACACAGCAGAGAAAAAGAGCTGTGGATAGCTTCACTTGCAGAGTTATGAACTCACAGTTCACATTTCTCTGTGACTTACTTGGAGTAACGATCACCAGAAATTCAGCTTATGTGACAGCTGGGGTGTTAATAATGCAAACTGACCAAGCCAGAGTGCTGGTAATAAGTCTGTTAGGTCTGCAAGCAAGAGGGGACTAACAAACACTGAACTAAACTTTTCCACAATGTAGATGAGCATCCTGCACGTAGAAGAGAATTTCTGAGAGGTCTCAGGCTCCTGTTTAGTCCCATCCAGAGAGTTTGCATTTTATTCACAGAGAAGTAGGTTAGCGGGGAAGCCATGCATGCTGGAGAAATCTGGCAGGAGCAGCGCGGCAAACTTGTGTCTTGCTGTTCCGCTGTTCCAGAGGCTCTCTTGAGACTTGGAGGAAGCTACTGTTTATCACCTCAAGGCTCCCTCCCCAAAACATACCCACGGCACTAATGTCTTAGTTACCTGGGAAGTTTTTATATTTACTTTTTTACTAGAGGGGATTTTGATGGAGAAAATGTACAGCATCCTAACACACCTACTGCACACAGCTGTGACGTTACAGTGACTATGATGTCATGTCTTTCTGAATCCTAAGAGCAGGTGCATTGCACAGCGTCTGTTCCCATTCAGAACAAACGTGTCTAAAAGCGCAGGGAAGCCCTGCCACAGGCTTCTTTGAAATGACGCACAGTGTATTGTCAGTGAGCACAGAGGATAAAAAAGCAGGAGCTAACCCTTCATACAGTGTCTTATCTTCAAGTAACGCGTTCAGGTGGCAAGTTTGGATCAACCCACTTTGAACTCACTCCCTTACATTAGTAACTAGGTACCTTTCTTTCTTTCAGAACGGCCTCGTTACTGGTTCACCCGAAATGTTTAAATTAAAGTCATGTATCCGACGAAAGACAGATTCAATTGACAAACGCTTCTGCTTTGACATCGAAGTGGTCGAAAGGTTTGAGCATTACTTTCCACTTTGTGGTTTTTACTGAATGTCCACTTCTATGTCCAAAAATAAGCACAGCATGAAACAGCATTAGCAGTGGTTCTCAACCTGTGGGGCATCAGAAAACATATATTTACATAACTACCCTTTCACAGGGGTCGTATCAGTAGCAAGATTACAGTTATGAAATAGCAATGAAACTAATGTTTTTGGTTTGGTGTCACCACCACATGAGTATAGGGCTGAAGCATTAGGAAGGTTGAGAAGCACTGGCAGACAGTGTTTGCATATTTGAAAGTCAACACACTTCAGTGTTTCTCCTATTTACCCAATAAATTTTCACTGAATGATATTTCAAAAAGAAAAGAGACACGAGAGCTAATGCTGCTGAAAAGTTACACCAGAGAGAGAGCCTGGGAAGTTTGCGTAACCGGCATGTTAGAGGGCCGGGCAGAGCAGCCTACCTCCCAACAAATCGGGAGAAGCCCACAGTGTTGTTTGCTGGCTTCAAGACAAACATTTCCGCTTTCAAATTTATTCTCTCATGTATGACATTCCAACTACAATTTCCCTTCCCTTCTCTCCTCCCTACCCTGCCACCCTCGTCCACTCCTCCTATGTTTCCCTTCAGAGAAGAACAGGCCTCCCAGGGGTTTCAGCCAAGCATGGCAAATTAAGCTGTCCTCAGACTAGGCATCTCCCCTTATATATTAAGACGGGAAGAAGGAACCCAGGAGGAAGACAAGAGTCCCCAAATCAGGCAGAAGCACAGGGCAAGCATTTTTATCATCAAGAGGAAGTACCACAGACTCCACAGCTGGCCAAGTTCAGTGCCTCCTGAAGGCCAATGTGTGCACACACTGTCATATTTCTGCATATTCTAGTTATGGTTACTTAAACTCTGTGCTTTTGTCATTTCATCTCTAAAATAGAAAAAGAAACTCGCATTTCCAGGGTTACAGGAGATGATAGAGTGGTCGGATGAACACAGCAGCCAGAATGAAATATAACCTTCCATCAGGTAGTGATTGCTGTCGACTCAAATTCTGCAGCAACACTGCGCTCAACAACATGTATCTGTAATCCCAGCGCTCCGGAGGCTGAGGCAGGAGGACTACAAGTTTGAAGTAAAGCTTATGGTGCTTAGAACTTGTTCCAGAGAAACAAAATAAATTCAATCACATCAGATTATTGAGGCCCTTATATACATTTTTTTCTTTTCTTGTCATTCTAATGAACTATTTTCTTGCCTATAGAAAAAATAAGTTATTTCTTGCCATATTATGCTATTCCAAGTTTTTTTAGTGAATATTTTAATTTTTTAAATTCTTTATTAATTACACTTTATTCACTTTGTATCCCCCCTGTGGTTCTCTCCCTCCTCCCGTCCCAATCCCTCCCTTCCTCCACCCTCTGCATGCATGCCCCTCCCCAAGTCCACTGATAGGGGAGGACTTCTTTTCCTTCCTTCTGATCCTAGTCAATTAGATCTCATCAGGAGTGGCTACACGTGTCTTCCTCTGTGGCCTGGTAAGGCTGCTTCCCCCTCAGGGGGAGCTAATTAAACAGCAGGCCAATCAGTTCATGTCAGAGACAGTCCCTGTGCCTATTACAATGGAACCCACTTGGATATTGAACTGCCATGGGCTACATCTGTGCAGGGGTTCTAGGTTATCTCCATGCATAGTCCTTGGCTGGAGTATCAGTCTCAGGAAAGACCCCTGTGCTCAGATTTTTTGGTTCTGTTGCTCTCCTTGTGGAGTTCCTGTCCTCTCCAGATCTGGGACTCTATTTTTATTATTAATATGTAATGATTAAAAACTTGGAATAGCTGCTTTTTTTTGCAGCTATTCCAAGTTTTTAATCATTACATATTAGTAATGAAAAAAAAAAAAGTCCCAGTGTTTTTAAAGCCTTGTAATTTCCAGGCTGACTACATTAATTCTTGCATATGAATTAACCGATAAGATTTCATACCACCCCACCCCCCTTCATATGGTGCCTTCTTTTATCTGGAAATGCATCCCTAAGTAACTGTTTCAAAGTGGCTGCACAGAGGAGATTTTGGGGACAAAGCTTGTTGAGACAGGGTCTCACTCTGTAGCCTGGCCTTGGACTTGTGGTTCTCTGGCTGAAGCCTCCCACATGCATGACTTGAGAATTATTTTCAGGGAATTCATTTTAATGCTGTGATCATGGCACAGAGAAAAGCTGAGTGTCACTTTGATGGCTTTATAAAATAATCAAGGACTTGAAAATTTGCAAATGCTGAAGGGCTCAATAGAATGAATTTCACATGTAGAGTGTCTGTCTGTTGCTAGGCATGGCATCATCACGCTACAGGCATTCTCTGAAGCCAACCGGAAACTCTGGCTGGAGGCCATGGACGGGAAAGAACCGGTAAGACTGTGATGTCATCTCTAAAACTTGGAGAGCACCTCTACATTTTATTTTTATGTGTCTTTAATATAGTCAAAAGCGTTAAAGTAACAGAGCAGATGAGAACAGCCTGTCCTGCTGTCCTGGTGACAGCTCAGCCACTAGCTCTTAACTCCTACTTGCAGTTTGTTTTTCAGGAAGACTTCTAAGACTAGTGTGCAACTCTAAAATCACTTTAAAATATTTATAACCATTAATTGGGCTGCATTTCTTGCCTCACTTTAATGGGTTGCTATTCAGAATATGTGAGGAATCATCCTCTGGTCCGGGCCTCACTGGAAAACAACAGTTAAGAAAGCTGCTGGTGGGAGACATCCCCATTGGATGCACATCCTGTGTGTCATAGTCGTTTTGATGTCCCTGTGGCAGTTTACTCACAAACACCAGTGTTATGTGGGAAAAAGAGGAGTTCTTCTCTGATGTTTGCTTTCTTACTGAACACTGTTCCGGGGTCGTAGTGTGAGGGCGCTTAGGATAAACAGGCACCACCCCATCGCTAGGGAAGGTTCCACTGATGGCAGAGAACCCAAGAACAGTCCAAGCTAAGGTGCTAGTTAGCATGCTCTGTAGACCCAGAGACCCTTCCTCCAACCCCGGTCCCAGGCCACAGTCGGATGAGCCAGGCACTTCGAATACATTTTAGACTCTAGAGTTTAGAAGATGATCTAAACACACAAGGATGTGATTTTAAGTCTACCAAATTAAATAATAATAATAATAATAATAATAATAATAATAATAAATCAGGCTTTGTGTTGATTAGTTTCTTTTTCCACTGTATTATATTTTATGGTGTCAATCAATCAAAAATCAAAAATACAAATCATTGGTATATTTTTTTTAAAAAAATTTTAAACTTTGCACAAATGGTTAAGAAGTCCTGATCTAGCTGGGCACAGTAGCAGACACCTGTAATCCCAGCATTCAGGGAGGCAGAAGCGGGCAAATCTCTGTGAGTTCGAGGCCAGCCTGGTCTACAAAGCAAGTCCAGGACAATCAAAGCTACACAGAGAAACCCTGTCTTGAAAAACTTAAGAAAAAGACCTGATCTAGAGTAGATACAGGGATAATTTGTTATCCAGCAATGTTATCAGACTGTACATCAGAAAACAAATAAATGCAGCTCATTTGAGGAAGGAGCAAAGTCACACTAATTCCACGGTGAGACAGTTTTGGAAGAAGGTGCCTGCAAGTACAAGTTAGGAAAGAGAGTAAAATACAGAAGTCATATGGAGAAGGGCAGAACTTAGCCCAGGCTGTACCACCCAGGATGAAAACTGTGGTAGGGGTCAGTAGATAAGCTGAACAAATGGTGGCACTCTGGCAACAGTTGCTGGACCTTGAGCCAGTGCCTGATTCTTTTTGTTTGTTCATTTGTTTTAGTGTAAGCATTGCCTTGTCAATCTTCTCGTGGCTGTTAACTGCAGTAACTAACTGCTGTCCTTTGTTCCTAGATTTACACGCTGCCTGCCATAATTAGCAAGAAAGAAGAAAGTAAGTCCCTTTTCCTCTTCCTTTAAAACTTTTGCATGAATACTTCTCAGATTTTGGCTTAACTAAGATTTTTAAAGAAACAGAAACTTAATCAGAAATAAGCTTTTCTACATTTTGACTTGCCCTACAGAGTAAACCACAAATAAAACCTATTGAATCTCCTGACAGAGAATTGAGAAAGCAACAGAAGCACATGCCACAGGCTACAGAGTGAGGTTACGGTGTGCTAGTGGAGCCAGGAGCCCCTCTACAGCCTGAGCAGCAAGAAGTCACTTGCTTTGCAGTCACACTTTATTCAATACTTGTTCTTCATGCTATAAGTGAAGCTCTGCAATTCATTAGAAGAGGACAGTTTGATCATTCTTAAGACAAAGCTCCATGAAAAACGAAACAACAAAAACCCCACAAGAAACTGGCCCAGGATATTGAATCTATGAATGCTTTTGTGGTTATGGGATATAATGTTCTTGTTCTTCCTCTTCCTACTTCTCCTTTGCCTCCTCCTCTTCTTCTTGATATTTTTTTGTGATAGGATTTTGCTGTGTAGCCTTAACTATCCTGGACTCGCTTTGTAGACCAGGCTGGCCTTGAACTCACAAAGATCCGCCTGCCTCTGCCTCCCCGAGTGCTGGGATCACAGATGTGTGCCACCATGCCCAACTCGTAATGTATTCTTCTCTAGATTATAAGACATTGTTAATTAATTCATTTTGAGGGTGGTAGTTTTCGCCACTGTTAAACACATACTGTCCAGTTGAAATGAGAATGAAACTTCTCAAACGGGATCATCAGGAGAGAACCTCATTAGTAGGTCTTCATCATTTTACTATCTGAATTCCTTTTTCAGGAAAACAAAATTATCTTTCTTTACGTAGCGGTCCTGTCTCAACACTTCCATCTTGATCTTTAACAAAGAAAAAGGCAATCCAGTGTGTCCTGGGTTTTCTCTGATGCTGCCTTTTCTTCTGTGGTCCAATCTACATTACTCTATAATGCACCTATTTCAATTCTGGGGTGGACAAGGGGGTACATTCCAGTGGATGTTTTTGTGGGATATAGAGTCTTAAAGTTCCTGAAGAGCTCTAATGTTTGACCATTGTCTGGGTGACTTTTTCCATGCATGCCTGGGGGTGTGGTCTACCTAGTGCAAAGCAGACTCTTCATATTCTAAACAGTTGCTATCTGTGAACAGTATTCCTCCTGAGCTTCACATTGCTTGTACATTTTGTCACTGGAACTTCCCAGGTGTCCTAGGTAGCTTGGTTTCATCCTCCCGTGGTTAAACAGAGTGTTATTCCCATTGAAAGGTGTTCTAGCTTCCATGTATTGCATGGCTCTAACATGTGAAGAGGAAGGGCATCATGAGCACTAATAAATGTGCTCATGTCCTGTCTTTTTACCTCTCTAAAAACTCATGTAGCATGATGTTGTATATCTGTATGTTTTAATCAGAAATGCCAGATGGGAAATGTGAGTGGGAAATTAAAGGCAAGCTTTGCTTTGTTTTGGCAACCATGGGAGGCACAGTAAGACCACTGAGGTCACACCCAGAAGGGTGAGCTGGGTTTTGAATCAGGAGGAAGTTGAAAGAACAAGGACCTTTGTTTCCTTAGCTGCAGAAAGCTGTTCTTGTCCTCACTGCTGTTGGACATATGTGGAGATAAATAGCTTGTGTACTGCTAAATGGTCTCATGGAAACATCAGCTGGATTTTAATAAAAGCTTTAGCCCTGAACAGTTTCCAACAGAGAGAAAATGCTTACACTCAACTTTTGATTGAGTAAATTAACTTTATTTAGTTAGTCTGTCTTCAGGACAAATGCCATTAGTACCATAGGATTTCAGTGTCTGGGAATATAGTCACATTTGGATTCTGAACGCTTGTCTGGTCTTCTCCAAAGCAAGGAGAAGAGGGATTGACTACAGGGAGGTCTCGGGAGAGTTCACAGATTGGTCCTGTTAGGCGGTCCACTCCAGCCCTTGAGAAAGCCTCCAAAGGAGGTGCTCCCCCATGCTCAGGCATGGTGGGGAAGGGGAGCAAAGCAACAGCATTTGGTTGCTTTTCGTGTTTGCCTGTTCTGAAGCAGGGGTAGCCCCCACCCAGAACTCCTTGTTTCTACCAGGCAGGAGGCATTCCCTTTCTACTTCGCACCAAGAGTACTTTTTCTTCCAGAGGAGAGTTAGGAGGATCACTCACTCTCCGTGTATAGGTGGGGGTCGCCATGTGCCATAGCGTTGTTTGAAGGTCAGAGTGTAGCCTTGGTGTTGGTCCCACCATAGACAAAACGCCTACTGTTTGCAGCTGAGCGCACCAGGCTACCCAGCTCCTGGGTTTCCATCTCACTGTCTAGGAGTACAAGTGCATGCTACCAAGTCTTAACATCCGGTGGGTTCCGGGGACTCAAAGTTCAAGCTTGCATGGCAAGTTCTTTAGTCACTGCCATCTCTCCCGCTCATGCACACCCCCTTCAATGGTGTGGTTTAACTTACTGAGAAACCTTTCCATGGCTGGTCTCTTCTGAAATTAAGGAGTAAGTGTTTTCCTTTTATTTTTTACTTTTTTGCCATTAAAAACACATCCCTACTTTAAATTGAATTTTTCTTAGCACTAATGAAAGGAATATAATAATCCTCTCGTGGCTTTACAATATTGCACATTTTGTATCACATAAATTTCCTAAAATTTGACACTTTCCAAGACTGTATCTTACAAACTATGGGAAAACTATGTAAACCACACACTCTTTTTCTCACATCACACCAGAAAATGCCGAGCACTCAGGTAATGCTCAAGTAAGCATTGTTGACTAGATCTCTGTGAATGTGAACGGACGAGAGATGATTGCAAATAGGGACATTTTTTTTTTTCTTCATTAAGGATACTAATTTTGTTGGGTTGAATTTATTTTCTTGAGTCTGTGTTGTCACAGCAAAAACTGCTTACGTTACACATAATTAAATGAGAAAAGGGCAGGGCAGGCCGAGGTGACACTTGCTCATCCCACCTCAAAGTTTTGCGGCAGTAAACGTTCTTATCTGGTTCAGCATGCACGTCCACACGGGTCCTCAGTGGCTCGTTTCTACTCTGAAACTTGGGTCCATAGAGTGCCATCCTCCTGTATCATGCTGACCTTATACCAGTGGCAAGAAGAAATGGCAAGCTACAACCCTGGTCTGTTGGGAAGTGACGTAGTATCAGTTCCATTCCATCTCATTGGATAATGGTGATCACGTGGCCATAACCAGTCTTCATGAAATACCATCTTCTGGCATGAAGGACAAGGCAGCAGATATATGCATCAGCAGCCACCGTGTGCACAGTCTGTTCAGTTCGGTGGCATATTGCATTTGATCACTGGGATTTATTGAAGTATAATAAACCCGTAGGGATGTTTCTTAATGTCCAGTTGGAGCAGGCTAGGCGCATAAGGCTGCCCCATTATATGCTTGTCAAAGAAACAAATCATCGCTCTGCTCCCAAATTGCTTTTTGTTTTTTGTTTTTAAGTAATATGATATGCCTTTTTATTCTAAAGGCGCTGCTGTTTGACAGTTCTTGAAGCCATAGTTGTTTCAGACATTTGCAAAAAGAAAGAGGCGTCCATGAAGCTCCCATGTATAAAGAGGGTTTTATATTACACTCACTTAACAGGAGGCATGAGGATAGGGCCAACACCCCACAGCACCTGCTCTATTTATTTATTTTTTTAATTTTTATTCTTTTAATATTAGTTACAGTTTGTTAACTTTGTATCCCTGCTGTATCCCACTCCCTCTTTCCCTCCCAATCCCACCCTCCCACCCTCCTCTCCTCCCTGCCTCTTTCCAAGTCCACTGATAAGGGAGAACCTCCTCCCCTTACATCTGACACTGATTTATCAGGTGTCTTCAGGACTGCCTGCAAAGTCCTCCTCTGTGGCCTAGCAAGGCTGCTTCTCCCTGGGGGGGGGGGTGTCAAAGAGCCCACCATCGAGTTCATGTCAGAAACAGTCCCTGTTCCCCTTATTAGGGTACCCACTTGGATACTGAACTACCAAGGGCTACATCTGAGTGGGGGCTCTAGGTTGCAGCCATACATGGTCCTTGTTTGAGAAACAGTCTCATAAAAGACCCCTGTGCCCAGATATATTTGGTCCTTGTGGAACTCCTGTCCTCTCCAGGTCGTATTAACTCCCC